AGCATGGCACTTTAGCATTAAAAATAAGTATATTGAGTGTTCTTTTAAGAAAGCAGTGGCAACATATTGTCTTGCAGTACTAGTCCCTGAGTGACTACCCAGATATATTGCCAGAACATCTAATCCACAATGGCAAATATTCAGGTTATGTCATCAGATTTCTCTGCAAAAAATGTTGCAATTTATGATATATATATATATATATATATATACAGTGGCGTCTCTAGGATTCATTTTTCAGGGGGGCACATGGAGGGCCAGTGACAAAAGTAGGGGGGCACATTTAACCCCGCCCTCCCGCAGTTTGACCCCGCCCCTGTCGCATGTTAAGCCACGCCCCCGACACAATGTGTTTTGTTTTTTTAATAATACCTGGTGGAGGATTCATTATTTTCCACCAGGGATTATTAAAAAAACAAACACATTATCCTTGATACAGTGCCATAGTTGCCAACATTTGAAAAAACATTTTCAAGGACATTTTGCAGCACAGCTATCAATTACTGTCAGGGTATAATATCCCTGGACAGTCAGTGCTCTCTGTATAATACAGGGCTGTGTGTATACTAAATTGGGACACTCAGTGCTCCCTGTATAGTGCTGCTCTCTGTATAATACAGGTCTGTTTGTGTATAATATCCCAAGACAGAGAGCAGCACTATACAGGAAGCACTGACTATCCCGGGATATTTTATACACACAGATCTGTATTATACAGATAGCTGAGCATATACCCTAATCTCTAGACTACTAGTACCTGTCAACAGCAGCTCCCAGACGCGTGTAACAGGGCTAAAGTGTGCGGCAGCTCACACAGATTATTCAGCGGTAAAGTGCACTCGCTGGCACAGCCAAACTGGGAATGCCTGGGAATCCAAAGCAGCCCTGGAAAAAAAACGTATGCCATTCCTACAAGTCAATATATATATATATATATATATATATATATATATATAGTACAGTGAGCACACAAGCTCACTGACATGCGCAAATAGGCTTACTGACAGACAAAACTCTCTGACTCACACACAAGCTTACTACAGACAATCTCACTTGTATAAACAGAAGGCTCACTACAAAGAAGTTCAGGGACACACACACAAGCTCACTAAAGACAAGCTCACTGACACACACATGCTCACTAAATAGAAGCTCACTGACACACACAAGCAGTACCATTTTACAGAGTTAAGGGCCCCTGGGCAAAGCAATGCACTGGGGCCCTTCCTACACAACAACTCACAGGAATTTTAATTATTGATAGACTGCGGAGTCCATACACACACACAGACTGCTGAGTCCATACACACACACATACTGTTGAGTCCATACACACACACACACACACACACAGACTGCTGAGTCCATACACACACACACACACACAGATTGCTGAGTCCATACACACACACATACTGTTGAGTCCATACACACACACAGACTGCTGAGTCCATACACACACACAGACTCTGCTGAGTCCATACACACACACACACAGACTCTGCTGAGTCCATACACACACACACAGACTGCTGGGTCCATACACAAACACACACTCTGCTGATTCCATACACAAACACACAAAGACTGCTGAGTCCATACACAAACACACACAGACTGCTGAGTCCGTACACACACACAGACTCTGCTGAGTCCGTACACACACACAGACTCTGCTGAGTCCGTACACACACACAGACTCTGCTGAGTCCGTACACACACACACAGACTGCTGAGTCCATACACACACACACACTCTGCTGAGTCCATACACACTCTGCTGAGTCTATACACACACACACAGACTCTGCTGAGTCCATACACACAAACACACAGACTCTGCTGAGTCCATACACACAAACACACAGACTCTGCTGAGTCCATACACACACACACTCTGCTGAGTCCGTACACACACACACTCTGCTGAGTCCGTACACGCACAGACTGCTGAGTCCATACACACAAACACACAGACTCTGCTGAGTCCATACACACACACAAACACACAGACTCTGCTGAGTCCATATACACACACAGACTGCTGAGTCCATACACACACAGACTGCTGAGTCCATACACACACACACACACACACAC